TCGGTCCTCAGTGTAATATCGTGCTCTCCACGCTTACATTAGTTGCATGCTACCCCCTCCTCCTCCTATTCTAAAGCAGCTTACGTAGTGAACCGAAACAAGGAATTTAACAAAACCATCAAGGGGATGTACTTACTGACGCTGCCGTCTACAAGCTCGGGCCACGTGGACGTTGGGGCTGCAACCATGATCATATTGCACATCCACACCCACAATGTTAATTTGCGAGCTCACCGTCGTTGCCGCCGTTTGGTGTTCGTGTCCCGCCGGCAAGCCGAATTCAGGGCCAACTTGTCCTCATCCAACGAGACCAAGTCTCACGCGGGTGCGCGGCGTCTCTCCTACTCTCTCCAGCCTCCGGGGCAAAGACGTGGTAGTACACGGCATGGGCAATTAGTTGTGTTCCCTTCATCTTGTACGCCCGAGAATCATTTTTTCATGATAACCGAGCGCAACCAAATTATGTTACCACATCAACCGGCACACATATATATGAAAATAAAACCTCTAACCTAGCCTAGTCGCGACGAGCCTGCGCAACGGTTGTCTCCCATGTTTTGGGGCTCAATTAAATGTTCCCACGAAAATATTAATGCCCCCGCCCAAGCTTGCCTCACATTACACTCAATGTTTTTTTTTCGCCACCCAAGTTCCCGTAAAACATTTGGGTCAACAAAGAGAGATGCAACGTCCACCAATGAGCTCGAGAAGGAGTACGATCCGCGGGAGGCCACAATCCACCAATGAGCAAGCAGAAAAAAAGCCTTTCATCCATCCAAGACGACGAGAGAAACGAGACGACTCCCCACCCACACCCACCCGATTCATTTATTCGTCCTCCCTCAAGCCGCGCCGCCGCCCCTCGTCTTCCTCCCACTCATGGACACGGCCGCCGCCGCCGCCGCCGATCTCGTCGTCCACCGCCAACCTTGTCCCCCTAATATAATCTAATCTAATCTGGGCGGCCCCCAGAACGAGGAGCTTCCCGATTCATTCATTCCCGTCTCTCTCAGACCTCCCGTCCTCTGGTCACTACCGGCGACCTCGACGACCCTCGCCCCCACCTTCTCTGCACAACCTAGGCGGGGGCCCGGAACGAGCAGGCCATGGTGCTTCCAGATCCGTCCATCTCTGCAGTCGCGCGCGCCAGGACTGCAGAACCCTCTGTCTGTGTGGTGTGGTTCCGCTCCGCGGCAAGGTCAGCCGCCGCCCTCGTCTTTGCCACG